GCAGGGCTGCAAACCCAGGTCTCATTCACAATGAATGGCAGCTGTCACTGGCCCTGAATCCATCAGTGTGAACGTACTGTAAGTGTTGCTGAGGAAATGTGGGTAGAGGTCAGGTTTATGTGGCACTCTGTCTTCCTCCCCTGTCCACAAACAACAGCTATGCAGTGGGAATGTCAACCAGTTATTGATCAATCCTTGGTCAAACTTTGTCTTCTGTTTGTCAGCTAATAAATAACATGTCAGTTTTTTCAAATAACTATTCTCATTAAATGATTGGTGGTTCACCACAGAGCAAAGCTAGTGCATTAATTATTTAATGTGAATTGCTGTGTGAAAAAAAACATTGATGGAGAATGTCTCATAGATGTGAATGCGGACTGAATAAATGAAAACATTTTAAAGTCATTTTTATCATTGCACATTATTTTCACATGTGAAGCAAAATATTAAATTCTAGGTCATAGTTCTTTTAAAAGAACCAAATATTTCAACTAAATTACATGTTCTTTCTTTACTTTGGGCCCTACGGTACCAGTACTGTATATCTCCATGCCACACTCACTCCTCTCTAAATCCTTTTTATGTGAGTCAGTAGACGAGAATAGAATACGGCACATTTTTCTCTGCTCAAAGCAATGAAACAAAAGGGACTGAAAGCATTTTGCAATTCTTTTGGCTGAACTACAAGGAAAAATTCGACCACCAGAAGGGAGGCTATAGCTGTCTGTGGTCTGATGGGGAAATGCCATCCATCCATCCATTTTTAAACAACTTGTTCACTGTCATTGAGGATTGCTAGCCAAACCCTCAATGGTGACAGGGGAAAACATCTTCATTGAAGGAACCATTAATACTATAAATAGTGTAAATAAACAGAGTTTAAGGTTTAGAAGGATATCTGCTCTGTTGATATGTTATGTTTTTTATTTAGCTGTCTGAAGCCAGTTGTAGACTTTGCTATTAAAATAATAAATCACATATTATTTATAGCCTGCATGCATTTATATATGTTTACTGTACATCATTAGATGTTCTGCAAATAACAAAGTAAAACTAGAGATTTTTTGCAGTTGTCTCCATTTAATAGGAAGGCAAGTTAAGCTAGGAGTGAAAGGTGAGTCCAAATGCCACCTCAGTAATCTGTGCTGATGCCACAGATGCTGTGTCAGTCTTTCCGTACATCTGTGTTGCATATATAACTTATTTATTTTAATTACCTGCGGCTATAGGCTGTGCCACAGTCCTGTCAATATGGTTGCAAATTGTTTGCAGATATAGTTGCTAAAATACACACACTGGTGGTTTTATGGGATGCTTTTATGTGCATTTTTTGCAGAGATGCAGATTTGGAGTGTAGACGTCTACCATTTGTAATTGTTCTGGGATGAAAATGCCTGCTTGCGTGTTCATATGGTTAGTGTGTCAGCCATTCTGAGCCACCGCAGAGCCCAGTGCATGTGGTGCTGAGATCCCTGAGTTAATAGATTTCTGTCCTCAGTGCTTTTAGCATGTTGATCTCCTGCTGACAGATTCACACTCCGCTTAAAAGCACAGAGATGAGGGGTGGGCAGTTTAGAATTGAGCCTCCTTAACACTGCAAATATTTGGTTAATGTACCTTATTACACTCCCATCCTCTCTTCACATCAGCAAAAAAAAGAAAAAAAAAAAAAAAAAAAAAAAGCACCCCTGAAATTCCATGTCTCGCACGGGCCATTGATATTTATGCTTGCAAATGCAATTTGTTTAATTCCGCACAGAAATATTTGTATCTTAATATCCTTTCTCGCTGGATGTACGAGGAACAAGGGATCCATAAGAAAAACCCTGTGTTATTAATTATACTGCATCTTCTACATCTTCTTAATTTTTTTTCTCTTGTGATCTGCTACTCTGTTTTCTTTCTGAACATGAATGCTCTCACCATCTATTGTCGTGCTACTCCTTTGGTGTGTTTCCCTTGTGCTCTTTTATCTGTAATCTTTTTTTATGTTCTCTGCTTAGCATCACACAATACTCCTTTCCCCTCTCTCTCTTTCTCTCCCTCTGTAGATACATGTTTCGGTATCGGTGCCTCCCTCCTTCACTCTGGTTCCTCTCATCCCCTTCCCACACACACTCAGAGTCCTTGTACTTTGGGCAGTGTTTATGTGCGCAGAAGCACTTGAGACAACTTTTTTTTTCATACCAGCAAGCCACTTAGCAGCTTTATATAGCAACTACCCAAGGAGAGGATTAACAGCAGGAAACATCAACAGAGGGGTTTGTACTGATTTCAAACACACATATGCACAACTTGCACACACACCACATTCATTGTACTCACTGAGCCTTGGCCAACTACACAGTACACCCCTGTTCATGATACATTATTATGTTAGTCATCCAGCAGATGGTCTTATCCTTATGGGATTGTAGTGTACAGTATAGACTGGCTTTTTCATCTCACGGAGCGCAAAAAGCATATTTGACTTTGAATTTAGTGGAGCCTGTGAGCCTCTGTCTTTCCTGGTTATTTGATCACATCTTTTGTCTCAGTCACGTGAGGCAGGTCAGGTCTGTGCTCATGGGGTATCACTCACAGCCGCTCTTTACTTAACTCACCGGATCAGGGAGGAATCACACACGTTTTTGGCCTTACAACATGCAGCGTGCACTCTCAGTGTCTCTCACCTCACACACACACACATGCACACAAGTATATTCTTCATTATCATTCCAGAGCTGATAGGCTCTAATTATCTGCCTTGACTCTGATTAGTCTCTATGTAACAAGCTAATTAGATGGAGCCTTGTAAAATCATCGCCACCATTACCACAGAGACATGGCTGGGAAAGACACCAGCAAGGAGGAGGCAAGGAATGCGTCTTGCACCACTCCCCGCAAAGATTTGATAATCAACTAAATGTTAAGTGTTGGAGCTCTGATTTCTTTTTGATTAAGTGCCTTTTAAACCCTTCTACTTTGCAACAGAATCTTTATCCTTTCTCATTATTCATCACAAAAGGACTGTTCCTGTCTAGCAGGGCAGGATGATGTGGCTTAAATTGCATAAACTGCTGCTGTCGACATTTTAGGAGATAGCATCTTAACATTGATTAGTTTCTCTGCCTCCACGATACAGTGGCTATTTATCCAAAACGAACTATCGTCTGATCTGAGTCAGAACTTCTCTCTCTGCAGAGCAGCTTTAAAGCCAGAGTAGAAAGCCAGATTAATTCTCTCCTCTAACTTCTGCCTCCCTCTGTTATTATCCCTCTAACAATCCTTTCAGGAGCTGTCACACACTTTATAGCTATTGTGTTTCAGTTGTGAACACTCCAGAGTTAGTCTGTGCAACACACCGTATTTTCCATCAAAATGCATCTTAACTGTAAGCCCGTTAAAAAAAGAAATAGGAATTGTGATCTCAGCATCTGTTTTCTGCTTTCCAACTCATTTGAGCGAACACTAGGTGCTGCAAAAGATTTATTATGGCAATTCGTACAGTTTGAAGACTTTATGCCATTTGCTGTATGTGTTTACTGCTCATTACCAACGCGTCGTTTTCTATTATCAGCTATAATTGGCTTTGTAGGGACATCATGTTGCAGAATATTAGGAAAACCAGCAAAGTAGAACTGTCTTGTACAGCGACAGCACATCTGTTGAGCACTTCTACTCCTTTTGTTTTGGATTCAAAAGTACAATTATAGCCCGGGGTCACACACATGAGACATTTCACGTAATGGAATTTGAAATCCATATTTGCTTTAAGCCCTTAGGTAACTCACCTCTGTGCATAAATGTGCACTGGTGTGTGTGCAAGAGATAGACAGAAGACACAAAAAGACATGCTAATGTCAGCTGTGTCAAGTGTGCAAGCATGTGTCTGGGTGTGATGGGACAACTTGCCCGTATGCCAAATCTGTGCGTGTGTGTATTTGTGTGCATGTTTGTCCTGGCAGGGGGTTCTTCCTCTCTGGGGTGAGGCAGATGGCCTCTGTGGATCGCAGCCTACTGAACTGGTTGGCAGCTCTCCTGACATTCCTGCATGCCGCATTGACACAAGATTGCAGCCAGTGTTTGTGGAAATAGTGTCTTAGCTCACAATTCTGTGACTTGCTCCACTTTGCAGGAATAGATTCTACACAAAAAGTGTCCTAGATCTGGCCTGTGACAGTGTCTGGAGATTTTTGTGCACAATGTTTCCAGATTGTGTCATGGTATTTAATGTGGATAATGATCCTCCACCATCAGTTTCAGCAAAAGGCATGCTATGCTCTTGTCATAGAGACTGCAACGTGGTTGTAAACCGCTTCTCCTTGGGCGCTGCTGTGCAGTCTTCCTGTCTGCCCTGGCTCCGGGTGAGGGAGTTGGTAATTGGATTCCTGGAATCTTCTTATTCACTTCAGCACAGCAGTATGTGACAAAATGCCTGCAGCCATGAGGCATCATCCGTAGGGCCCTTAGGGAAGATCAAGGTAGCTTTACACAGACTTGGTAGATGAGTCTATGGTTGGCACTCTCTCTCATGAGAACTTAGGTGTCTGGCTGCCTAGATGTGGGCTCTGATCGGGAATGGATGAATGACATCATGTCTACTAACTTCTGCTGTGGACTCAAACAGGTCTCCTGATATCCATTTACAATAATCTCTAAAACCCAGCAGCTATTGCACAGCAAAAGATAGTGGAAAGATAGTGAGTGAACTGCCACATTAAAGATAATGTGATAATTGACTCTGACCAAAACTCAGAGCTGAATCAAGACTGTATTATTATCAGTTCCACATTGCAGATAAAATGATCACTGAGATTAATTTTGATCACAGAGCATTGTGTTTTGCCATATACTGTAAAGGATTTATATTTCACATACCTGTACCCTCAATTGAGTCTTCTGCTTGCCGGTGCTTCGGATTCCTCTGGCTGCTTGTCTCCTTTCTACGCACACAGTAACATGACAGCTGTCACTTCCAGTAACCACAGTTCCGTCACTATCTCTGCACTATCCCCCAGGCCCAGACTGGTACCTGAACAAGGTGAAACTGAAGATCACAGATGTCAATGACAACGTTCCTGAGTGGAATATGAAGCCATACCCTTACCTGGCTGTAGTGTCCCCTGAGGCCCCTGCGAGAACATTTGTCTACCAGCTCCAGGCTCATGATGGGGACGAAGGCAAAAGCGGAGAGGTGGAATACTTTTTGTCGGATGGTATGCTTACTGCTGCTCTCACACACACACACACACACACACACACACACACACACACACACACACACACAAGATGTAAAATAGGTTGTGTACTGTAGGTATTGTTAAAATAGGTTGACAGGTTATTTTACCTTGGAAATAAACACAGCTGTAGTCTGACACCAGTACAGTTGCTCAAACAGACAGCCGTAGGTGTTCACACATTCATTATTTCATTCATACACTGTTTAGGTGTCCATTAGTTTCTCTGTCTCTCCGTCACCCTGTCTCTCGCTCTACCTCTGTATCTTGGTCCTTCCTCTCTCTCTCTCTTACACACACACATACACACAGTCACATACACAGCCAGAGGCATTCACACATTTGTTTATGCACTTACCATGCACTCTTGTCTATCTGCCTGCTTCTTTCTGTTTCATACACACAGACTCATGCAAGCATACACTCTTGCACACACTCTCACACACAAACACCCACAGGGGGCTGTTGGAAGTCTGCCAGAGTAGTAGACCCCCTAGTGGTTGAGGGGATAAAGGATTGTTGGCATGTCAGAGATGGAAGATGTGCTAATCTTGCCAGTGGGACTTTACAAAACACTATGCATTCCCTCTGACTTGCATTAGTCCATTGCAGAGCTCCCTGATGTGAGTTAAACCAGAATTACCACAAGGTATACTCCATGGTCTACATGGCCATGCTAAGAACTAAATATTACGAGCATGAGGTTTGCCTCTAAACATTTGAACCAACTAAATGACTTTTATTCAACACAATCTAGACCCACTTTCAAGATTTTACATGTATTAAACATTCAGCTTATCCTGTAAAACATATAAGACCTCAAGAGGATGAGAGTAGCTGGCCTTTTGATGAGCCATGTCAATCTGTCTGAACCCACTGTTTAGTATGTAACAGTAGTGGAAAAAGCATTTTTATTTAAAAGTACCCTGTGGAGTTTTCTTGTAAACAACTATTTGTCACCAAAACACACTGTGTGTGCGTTTACTTTCTCATTAAACATTTGCAAAGCCAATTTTTTTAACAATTCAAAACCCTGCATTGTTTATTTTCATGTTTGATAGCCATCTACTTCTTAACTTCCTTTTTTGGCACATGGACACTTTTATTGGCACAGCACTGCCACCAACTGTCAGTCAGTGGAGTAGTGTAAAACATTTGGCAGGAGTGTGTGCTTTCACAAACACCCTCATGCACAACAGAAACAAAATAGAGACATGCTCATAAACCCTGCTCCATAGCATTACTACTGGTCAAACATGCTAGCGTACCTTTAAGTAAAATGTAAAAATGCTTTTTTTACATAAAAGGTACTACAAGTACAGAAGTAGCAAAAGTAACAGTAAGTAAGATAATAATCATCATCCTCATAAACGCACAAACTAAAAAGTAGTTTTTGGTAGCAAAATGCACTATTATGTACATTTTTAGCTTGAGCTAAACATACAGTACGATAGCAATAGACTGATCATGACTAATGTCTCTTTAACACTATCTCATGTACCTGCCACCTGCTGTCAGCTGGCAGAGCAGGAGCTAGTTGAATAAATCATCCGTTATTTCATGTGTAGCAGGTGCAAACATTGACAGAGATTTAGAGGCCAAAACCTGTTCTAAAGTAAAGCTTGTGTCTAACAGTCAGCCACATAAGAACTACATTCTGTACTTTTAGTGGCGGTTGGCTGGCGTATGATATATGCTACATACAAAAGGTGAATGTTTTCTAAAGTGGACCATGTTGCAAGGTACAGCCTTATACAGACAATACAACACTTTGTGTCTTGTCTGGGAGTTTATGAATAGTTGTTAAATGAATAATCATTTTACACATGACCTCAGAAAACCTCAATTTTTCTGAAAGCTTGGTGCATTAAGAAAAATATTTTATCGACTAAATACATGTGCAAGAGCAAGTGCTGTAACATAACACCTCAGCAGAGTCAATGCCAGTCTTTTCTGTAGGGTATATAGAACATGTTCTTTATAGGTTTAGAAACAAAAATGAAAATGTTTCTTCTTTCATTTTGATAGTTTGAACCGCATCAGATGGAAAGGATTGTCTGAGTGTGATGTGTTAGTCTCTGTTTGCCTTTGGAACAAGCAAGCTTCTGAGGACCAAGGCTGTAACTTTGATTGAATCTGCACTGTTGTCAGTGGTAGAAACCCTGAGGTATGTAACGGCTGATGCCCAGTCATCAGTTCCGATCCTGTTGAACTTGTAAGCCACCAGATCTTCCTACCCCCCACCCCCGCTCACATGGTTTCTCTTACTACTACTATGCTGAAGAAAGCCAGCTCTGTCCGTCCTTCCCATCCGACAAGCCGACTGTCTCAGTGTGGCTCTCAGCCTAGCCTCACTCACAAATCCAAACGGGGGAGATAAAGCTGCCTTCAGCTCAGTTTCTTCCAGCCTGATCGCCTGTTGAGATCAGTGAGTCTTTCACTTCAGTGCAACACTAGTAACCAGCTCAGCTCTGCCTTGCTTTCTCCAACAAAGTCTGCTAAAAAACTGGACATTGTGATTGATTGAGGACTACAATAATTGTTACTGTGCATGTTACATCTGTCACCTGGTCATGCTGCTATATATTATCCGAAATATCAGGTCCTATCTAACTGAATGTGCCAAAACCTGTGCAGACGGCTCAAAATGATACACACTTTATGGGTAAACACATATTCATACATCACTATACTATATACATTATACTGCATGTTTCTTACTTTTCCATCTCCATTCATGCCCTGGAGACATTACCTAACATCCAGCCTCAAAATAAACTCTACTATATTATATTCTATAACATCAAATGCACAACCTCAAAATAAAATGACATAGGGAGAGGAGGGCAAAAAAAAAACAAAAAAACTAGACAGCACTCAGAGAGTGCAGAGCTCTGGCAAAGGAAACCCAGTTTCCCTATAATGCCATAAAAGCATAGTTTGATCTTCATAATATGATTGCTTGACCATGAAAATCTACTGCTGTGGTGTGGAATGATGCTGTTATCACCATTAGTTTGACATTTATTCAAGAAGAACCATAGACATGGCAGACATTCAATAATTGGTTTAGGGATAAAATGGCGAATTCTTTCCTCAGCTCTGGACTGTTGCCTCACTAGGGTCCTCCAGTCCCTGTCTCACACATCAGGGTGTACTGAATGGCAACACTCAGTTTCCATTGACAATGAATCGGCAGCTATCTCTAACCCCAAGATTTCTCTGTTTGTTTTTGGAGTGCTCAGCAGTGTTGCTGTGCACTTTGGCCACAAGGTAACTAACATACAGTCATTAGTTTTCCAGCACTCACAATGGTGAATAATCTTTTTAAAATATTTCTGTTTCAAAATTATGGTATGGATCAGCTGCTAAATCTAATCAAGTGTTTAGTGGGCCGTATTCTACCTTCCCAAAAAAGAATGATCAAAATCTGTTCATTACTTCTGAGTTATGCTGTTAAACAAACAAGCAAACAAACCAACAATAAAAAGCCCCACCCTTGGTGGAGGTAAATAATGGATAAACTGATCAATGAAAGAATGACACATGCCACAGAACAATAGCAAATTGAGGGGGAAAAATAAAAATCCTAATAAACATACTAACATGCAGAATTTCACCTTATAAACTATAGAGGTGAACACACTAACATCAGTTTGCTGAGCTGCTTGGTAATCAGTGATAAGTCAAAACAGAGGATATCAAACAAAGCCACTGGAGAATGTGGAAGTTTCCAATTTTTTGTGTTTGTTTTGTTAAGTTGATAATGACAAGGAAGAATTGCCAGTCAATAGTAGTACAGTAATGTCAGCCAACAAGATTTCACAAAACTAATGAGACAGAGTAGAAGAGACTTGTCTTCTAAACAGAAACTGCTGAATAAACAAATAAATAAAATGGAAGGAATGACAGATGTAGATTTTAAGCAATTTCCTTAATGATAGTCAGCCATACTAACAATCAATAATTTAACTGTTACTAATTTAGTTTTTTCAGCCACTGACATAACGTACATTTGCTGCAAAATTGGAATATACTGGGAATTATATAATAATAAACACACAGTTACTTGAATTAGAAATAAATACAAAATAACGACAATCTAAAATTGCAGAGAATCCACTTCCATCCATTGCTGTCCCGTGATTGGTCAGACAAGCCCATTAACCTTGTTAAACATGGAACAAGACTCCCCAGTCTCCCCACAGCGAATTCCAGTTTCACTGGTTTTATGACAGATGTCCTGGGGACAAATACTGTCACACCAGACTCAGTGTGGACGAACTCAGCCCAGGAAATCATTCACTCATCTTTACTACAAAGCAGGGGGTTGTCGCTTATACAGTTAATTACTTTAGCGTTGATTATGTTGGAAACGTTTAATTAGACTACTGTTTGTCACCAAAGTTAATACCACAACTACAGCCGTCTGCTGCCTGATCAGCTCCCAGCCTGCGTTGACCAAGCAGCTGCTCACTGCTTCTGTTGATAATTTAAGTTTGGATTAGCATGAGCCTCAGATAGCTCATGCTGTCTGGCTCATGGGCATCGTGGTGGTTCAGTAATTTGCACTGTTGCCTCATAGCAAGAAGGTTCCAGGTTTGAACTTCGCAGCAGACTGGGGTCTTTCTAGGTGGTATTTTCTTCAAGTGCTCTGACTTCCTCCCACAGTCCAAAGACATGCTTGTTAGGTTAATTGGTGACTCTAAATTGTTCGTGCGTGTAAATGGTTGTCTGCCTGAAAACAAAATAACACTTACAGAGTCATAATACAGCTGGTTTTAATATCTTAATCCACTGAGTATTATGTCATACATACTATAGTAGAGTTCTGTTTTAGTATTGTCCAAGTGAAAGGCTTTGCCTTGTGTCACCAGAAATGTTGTTTAAAAATACCCAATTTATTTGTGAGTTTATTCATGTGTCAACACTTGTGTCAGCGCCTTGATAAATAAACCACTGCGCAGAAAGATCAAATTTAAATGCTAATTTGAGCATGAATCATATTATAGAACAACTTTTTTATGTGTTGTGGGCCTTAGCTCAGCAGACCCAGCAAGCCAGAATCACCGATCCCAAATTGCCATTTGGGAAACGTTAGTATTCAAGACAGCAGTAGTGGATTGCTTTTGATCCAGGACAAGAAAATAATGTCACTGTATTTCTATGTAGGTGGTGACAGCTGCTTTGCAGTGGAAAAGAGGACGGGACAGGTGGTGACCACAGGGCTGGTGCTTCAGAAGGACAGAGAGTATTTGTTAAGTGTGGTAGCCCTCGACGGCCTGGGCAGCCGCAGTGCCCCGGCCATGCTCTCTGTGGTGGCAGGAGCCAGAGCACCACAGTTCAACAATTCTAGCTATGCCATCTCCATACCAGAGAACACGCCTGAGGCACAGCCGTGAGTACTGCATCTACTCACACATCCATAATCAGGAATGTATTAGGATTGTGTGATACGGTCAGAATATCTATCTATCTATCTATCAGCTGTAGCTTGTACATTATACAACATTGTGTAACTGTGGTTTGTTTTATATCTTTCTGACATTGTTTGGTTAAACAGTTATGCTGCCAGGGCTTTTATTGAGATGTGGAACTCCTCCCATGTCTGCCACCAAACACTCTAAGCAGGTTCTTTATTGTTGCTTCAGTAGGTATAATTGCCTGTTTACAAAATGAGAATAGAGTGTAATGAGTATTAAAAATGTAACAGTATTGCAAAAATATTGTCAGTGTACCTCATACAGTATCTTTAAATTGACAAACACTAAGATGACTGTGTGCATGAAAACATATTGTTAATCACCTACTCACTCACACAAGGAGAGTGTTACGTGTACTGCAAAATATGACAAGTAAAACTTAAATATATGCACACATATCTCTGTAAAAACTATTGTCTGAGATATCAAAACACTACCTGTCAAGACTTGTGCTGATGAATATTAATTTTGTCACATCAGGGCACTCCAGCATCAATTGATGTATCATCATCACACACCATTAGAGAAGGCAAACTCTTTTAACCGTAAAAACAAACATTGATATCTGCATAATAGTATTACATTATTACCCAGAACTGACAAGTACTGATTGACTGTGTTTGTGCATGTAGCCAATGGGCCATACAGTAATTGATTTCATTACAAGACAGCGCTGATGTAGGAAAAGAGAATTTCGATTTTAATTCAACATGTGTACAACTGAAATCGAATAGTAAAGACTATTAGTCCTTTTCTTTTAATAAGTGTCTCTTTGTTCCACAGCTTCCTGGTGGTGTTTGCTATTTCCTTCCAGAAGCAGCCAATCAGCTACAGCCTGCTGATCAATCCCAGTAGCCTCTTCAGCATCCAGCAGGAGACGGGGGAGATTAGTCTGACCAGGACACTGGATTATGAGAGCGACCAGCGACGCTACCTGCTGATGGTGCGAGCCAGCGAAGAGCCCGGCAGCCTCAGCACTGCCACAGAGGTTTGTTTAATTAGACAGTGATAAGCTTAGCAAACATGAGTCATATTAGAGTTCATGCACTCAGGTCAGCTAACCTGAGGTCTGCACTGGTGATTTATTATCGCAGCTGTCACTCAAGCATTTAGTGCTGAATAAAACTGAAATAAAAATCTGTTGTATTGCTGTAATTTGCTGCATTGTGCACCAGACTTTAATGACACTCTCAGTCAGACCAGTTTTCACCTAAATGTGATGTGTCTCATAATCAAAGGCTGCATTAACAGAAATGATCTGATCTCAGCACTGACCTTTTGACGTCGCATCACTTGGCGATAATCACAGAGGGAAAGGCATGGCTGAATGGTTTAACAATGTTAGCACATGGCCTGAGTTGGGGGTTTTCTTCTGCTGTTTGTTTTTCTATTTTGTTTCTGTCTCACTAAGTGCTTTTTGTCAAGAGCGTGATCTGAGATGAACTGTGTAAAATATAAAACAAACACTTAGACACTTGGGAGAACTCAAAATCCAAAAACTTCACACACCAGTGTTTCTAAATAAACTATTCATGAATACAGTATCATTTAAATTATTAATTCAAAGATTTTGTTACCCGATTATCATGTCAGACGCTCACTTTATCCCACAGATTTAGTAGGAACAATCTCCTTCTGCTCAGCTGCAGTGGGAGATGGAGACTGGGAAAAACCTATCCCAGCTATTTCAGGACTGTTACTCAGCTGTCACTTCACACTTTACACAGTGTGGTGACAGCGAGCTTGTAGGTTGGACGACAGCTAAAGGGCCTTTGTCAAAAACAGATAGTGAGGCACACACATGCTCAGAACATTTCTATTTTTGACAGATAAAGCATAGGTTGAATTGGTATCTTGAGAAACCATAAAATGCAATTTAGATTAAGTTTTGGGGTCAGCGTCTTGTGCAGGATCATTTTGTAAAGAGGCTAATTTTAGTGTTCTTCTGCTCTGATTTTGTCTGATTTTGCTCCTCACTTCTCCTCTTCCTTCTCCTCTCTTCTTATTCCATCACACTGGCACTAATCAGGTTCAGGTGTTGATAACGGATGAGAATGATTGTGTCCCAGAGTTCCTCCAGTCCATCTACAGTGTGGATGGAGTTCCTGAGACTGTAACCACGGCAACATCTCTGCTGCAGGGTAAGACTTCTCTGACCCCATATTTTACATCCATCTGTTTCTTTTTGACATGGAGAGAGAAAATGTATAACGAGTCACTTTTTCTAAAGGAAAACAACAGATGTGTTTTGAGAGGAATCCAAAGCTGCAGTTAAGTCCTCGAGTCACTGTTTTGGCCTATAGATCCATAATGCTTCCATTTGTCAAACTGAAAGAAACTAATACATGTTTCAGACCGTGATCATAATTTCAATTATACTGAATTAAACTAGGTGCTACAAAGAAAACATACATTTGTTTTGATTTATTAGATGCTGCATGAATAATGGAATGCCAGTTTATTTATTACTGCATGAGGCTACTCTATAATTATCAATTATGAGGCTGAAGGTGTACGTTTTGCCATCGCCCTTATCACTGAACTTGTGAGAATACAAACACAATAAAGAACGATTTTGTGCCAAGGGATATTTACTGCACTATGTCTTTCAATCAGATCAAGTTGTTTGTTTTAACATGTGTGATAACCTACTGTATGTTCCTTATAAAACGATGCCACTGTTACTGGTAGTTCTTTTAGTTTCGTGCTTAAATTTGGATTTAGATGTTTTAGATTACTGTACTTTCAAGATCCATTTGCAGTATTTAGCTACAACCTTTCTTAGAAGAGTGACCCAACAAAATTAGAGGATTTCAATCCACAGTTACATTTTACTCACAAATTAAAGGGGGTCAAGGCAAAAATAACCATGAAAGCTGAGAAAATACACAGTGAATATACAAAATATTCCATTATATAGGCGTATTCTTTTTAAATTTCAACTTGTACACTATCGAATGTTCCTGCACCTCTGGGACTTCTGTCCCCTATGGGTTACTACAGGTGATTTGTGAGAGTTTTTGGCTGGGCAATGTTTTTTTTTTCTAATGCATTCTGGCTGGAAGAAATGGAACAAATTTAATCTGAAAACATTTGAACACACAGCCTGCAGCAGTAGAAATTGTTGGCACAGCACAGACAATGGAAGGACAAAATGGCACCCAATAGAAACCAATGCATCACCAAGAAAACAAAACAAACAGTATGGCAGGAAAAAAATCAGCAGTGGGGAGATCAAAGATAGAGAAAGTGAAAACTAGGAGACGTCTGCGAGACCTGCCACTAGAAAAGTTCAATATTTAAGCTAGTTATAGGATATAGCTGTTACAACAAATACTGAGACTTGATAGTTCAATAAAATAGTCTCTGACAAAAGCCCAGAATCCCCCAACAATTCAAATCAAGGAGCAAAAATCTGGTGGACTACACAGTTAACTAATGAAATGTCAAAGTTTTGATGCACCAAGAAAGAGAAATTCACATTACATTACACAGTCACCCCTGCTTGTACAGGGCAAAGACACAGATGAATAGTTTACAATGAGGCTATCACTTTAAATGTATCTAACTAAAGTTGATAGTAAAAAAAAAGTAAACTGTGAAGCACTAGTGATGGTGAGGATGGTTAAGAAAAATGTACTCCTTTAATTCTTTAGCATTCAACGAGTCAGAATATACAAATGGCACATTGTCTGAGACTACAGTATATTACAAGATATTTAGATGGAAGGAGAATGAAGCATTCAGATACTCAAGCTGCAGCTGCTGATGCTTGACACGGAGGAAATAGACACATCAAGAGAATATGCAAGTGTAATGAGCTAGAGGGGCTGTGCATGAGTTTAAGTAAAATTCACCAAACAGCAGAGTAAGACCTAAATTGGCTTTGCAACAAAGAGTGTCAATATTTGTGGCTGCATCTCCTCACACATTAGAAACAAACCTATAGTTTTTCAGTGTAATTACCTCAGAATAAAATCATTTTGAAACACTGCAGAAAATGCAACTTGCTCATTTCACCAGGTCTTTATGCTCATTTTTGCAAATGATGGTAATCATTCTGGAAGGGCATAGTGCAGTTTGTGTGCTGGTAATATTAGCTGTCAAAGCGTATGATCTATTACATGTTTAGCAAGGCCATAAAGACATAATGATCTACACAGATGTCAACATATTCATCAGCCGTTGCCATCTCATCAGTTCGTTTTGATTAGCTGTTAATTGATTGTCCTTCTGTGATGTCTTCCCTGCTGTCAGTGTTGGCCACAGACTGTGACTCAGGGTTAAACGCTGAACTCACCTATTACACCTTGAGCCCAGACTTCAGCATTTCAGCCCATGGGACCGTTTTTCCTGCGGGCCGGCTTGACTATGAGAGGCCCAACCATCTGTATGAATTTGTGGTGATGGCAGTGGACAGCGGGGACGAGCCTCACTCTGGCACTGCCACGGTCCGTGTGAGGATGGCGAATGTCAACGATGAGTCTCCCGAATTCTCTCAGCCTGTGTGAGCAGCTTTATCACTTAAACTTTCAAATTACTTGTTCAATCTTCCCATAATCCCTTATTTCCTCCATAAATGTTCCTGTTAATTTTCACCAAGTTTGTGCTTGTGCATGTAAATGATGCTTAACATAACAATAATATGTGTATTGGCACAAAATGTAACATACACTGTCCAGCCACTTTATTAGGTACACCTGGTACGATTGTATGAAGTGCATACAGTTGTACAGGTGTGACTATTAATGTGGCATTGTACCTAAGGTGCCCTTGTTTTTATAAATTTAGAAAGGCCAAAGTTTAACTCTTAACCATGGCCAAAGTTCAGCTGCAAAGATCAAAGTTTGTCACCAAGGTGACAGGTTTAAATATTGTTCCTCCTGCTGGCACTGCTTCATCCCTTATCCACTGGCTGATCCCATTTCATTACATCGAAGCTGTGCTCTTTGAGCGGTTGCATCACAGACATATAGGTTGTTACATCATGCATCACAAACCTGCCTCCCTTCAGGCTATTCATCATGGTAATAAATTGATGCTGGGAGTCCTGCCATGAATAGTGGCCAACTTGCATCAACGCTGCAGTTGAAAAACCTTCACCTGTAAGACAAACTCAATGTTTTTCTATTTGGTGTGTTAATCACAGCCACCTGGCATTAGAACAATCTGTTCCCCACTTCTCACACTTTAATCAACGTGGGACCCATTTTTACTCTCATAACATGTTCTGGTGGTTTGCTAAAAATATATCCATCCATCCATTTTCCTCCGCTTATCCGGGACCGGGTCGCGGGGGCAGCAGTCTAAGCAAAGATGCCCAGACTTTCCTCTCTCCAGACACTTCCTCCTGCTCCTCCCAGGCCAGCCGCGAGACATAGTCCCTCCAGCGTGTCCTGGGTCTTCCCCGGGGCATCCTCCCGGTGGGACATGCCCGGAACACCTCCCTTGGAAAAATATATCTCATTCTATATTGTAGTAAAATTGAGCATTCACATGACTCTCTGGGGTTTATTTTTGGCCTTCTATGCAGTAACCTGACATAGGGATGCTATCCACTGTGTCCTCAACCGCCTTTTTTTTTGGCAAAGCTGTGTGAGTGGGTGGGCATAAACTGTCACTGTGCCTCTGCTGCATTTATTCCCCCCAACGTGTAAGCCACTTGTCCTGTCAGTCATCTTTCAGCAGCCTTCACAGAAAAGTGTTGCAGACCTGTTTCTCGTCCTTGTTGCATTGTCAGGTGTCCGTCTCAATAGGTCACCAGACACTTAGCTAAACAAACAAATGAGCAGAGAGGTGGACATGTGGGCAGACAAACAGAAAACTGAGGAGAAAAGCATACACTGCAACATGTTCGCAGGAGAAGCAAGTAGAGAATACCAAACCATACATGGCGAGTAGACAAGGAGACAGCCAGTCAGATATGCGGATAAACACAGAGGCCTGTCGGCAGTAAGACAAATACTCTTGGCAGACCAGCAGACAGACATTTAGAAATTCATGCATTTTGTCAGGTAGGGTGTATTGGGTGCTTTGTCATATTGTAGCTTTCTGAGATGTAGATAAATGCTATGAGAGCAGAAAAGGACAGAGTCTTGATAAACAGCTCAAAGACAGACTGCTGCATACTGAGATACTTATGAAATTAATTTTAGCCTAAGTGAGACATACTTGGACATGTGCTTGGATGGGCTAATGTTTTTTGGCATGTCCTCATATTTGAATCAGTTACAGAAAAGTGATTGGAGGAAGGGACAGACAGGCAGCGAGCCTACAGATATGCAGATAGCCAGACTCGCAGGCCAGCAGACAGATAGACAGATAGACAGGCAAACTGTGTCAGAGTACCATGTTACAGTTCAGTGAGATGTAGGGAGATGCTTCAGGAAGAAAAGCCGACAGAGTGTATATGTTTCATCCCGCAGAGCTGCGGAGAGGTGGCCTCTGAGCCGGGTGACAGATTACAGGTCACTCATGTTGCCACGGAGACTGCAGCAGCTGGCGGAGATGAATCACCGATCAGCGTTCTTCTGTAAACCATCAATCACCTCTGACTTCTTACCGTAGACACCGACACCCCCACATACACTCACGCAGACACACATATTTACACACACGCTCATTGGAAGAGGATACAGCACAAAATCTCACAAGGAATGAGTTCTGCTGACAAATCAACTCAAACTCTGTGAGAATGCCGCCCCCTCTTACAGTATATCCTGCTCCTCGCTGTCTATCAGCCTTCCTCTGTCCTCGTGCTCTTCTCTCTCACTCCCACATATCACTTTACCTGTCATTTCAGAGCCAGCCTTCCTTTTTGTCACCTGCTCCTCTCTCCTGTCGCGCCTTTTGCTCTGTTTTCCATTTCTCTTCATCTCCGCATCCTCCATGTCACGTAGTTCATCTCACCTCCGCTGTGCTTTGTAGCACAGTGAAATAAGTCTCCTGTGTAAGTCTACTGTGTCTTGCTTGGCATCTCGCTGCCCAGCACCACAGAGCAAGCAAATCACTGTTGACATTTTAAAAGGCACTGGATCAAATGGCCTACAGTGGGCCGGGTATGTGGAAGCACAATTTGTTCAATGACTTCTACATCCCAGTAGACATTATCATTTGTCTCTGCTCTGGCCAGCTAAGAGCACGCTTTGAATCATAGTGACAAGCAAAAGCTACAACCATACGTCTAATCAGTCTGCTAATGCCATGGACTGTGAAAATGATTGCCCTGTCTCTGTGTGTTTATATGTGTGTATTCCCTCCGCTCTGCAGATATCGAACATTTGTTTCTGAGGACGCGGGCCCCAACACCCTCGTGGCGACAGTTCTGGCCAAAGACCCAGATGGTGATGGTATAAACTACTCCATAACAGCAGGCAATGAGGAAGGAAACTTTGTCATCGACAGCCAGAAAGGTGATACAGTATTTCTTAATTTTCCAGTTAGGTTTCACATTTACAGCTCTCACTCTAATTTACAGGCTTTCCGTCAAGTCACACATTCGATTTTCTCTATTACTCTTCTACTAAAGTAGTGTAGAATGAATTCCCTCTACTTTCAAAGACACTGAAGTTGATATTAAAAGCAGACGTTTCAATATGACTGCTGCTTTTTCTATTATTGAGGTCATAAATATAAACAGTAATATTATTTTGGAAGTTTGCACACCTCTTTTTGCAAGTGCAGAGAGGAATGTTTCCGATGTTTTTGTGCTTTCTAGCATTGGTGACTGCACAGTTTATCTTTTTTATTTACCCTTTGATCTGAAGCCAGTGGCAGTAGCTGTGACATTTGTCACCCAACCCTTTCAATTCAATTTCACAACAACTGCTCTATCATAGCTGACAATCTTTAAGCTCCGCTCTACCAGCTTCTCTTGCTTTTGTGTCATCTTTTTATATTACTTTCCACCCTCTCTGTATATCCTCATAGCCAGAAAATGCTAAGGCTGATATCCTTTGGGTGCATGAAAACCACTATACTGCTTCCCACTTACTGTATATGCCGGGAGTGCTGGCTCATTGAATAGCTGCTTGAGCTCATGTCACATTTGTAAACAAGGTTGACATTTAAGCTGCGAGAATTACTGTGTACATCCCACAGTTCACTTATTTTAATAGTGGTGCAGTGCTGTCAACATCACACATCGTTATTAGGAGCTAGGACCCTTCTCTTTTCCTTGGGCGGCGCAAGTAAACTGGGAGAGAGGAAAGTCAGGTGCTCGCATCTGTATGTATCAGCGTGCTTTGTTGTCTTTAATCAAGTGCATTGAAAGACATAAATAGAAACACAACAAGAATTAAAAAAACCTCCCCATGCTCTCACTTGAATGAGTTTCTCCCACATCACAGGCTTCTTGCTCATCCTGAAACCTTTTTTTTATTTATTTTTTTATTACTGTTGACAAGAAAGATGTTGACTCAGATGCTACATCCTTTTATCCCACCTTTTATCTTGGCTGTTATGTGAAAGCAGACAAAGGAGGCGAGAGAAACAGCTAATAGGCATCTTCTGAGCCAAGTTAACTTCTAACCCGAGTCACTTACTAGTTTATGTTTTTGCTCAAATGCCTGAACTGGATGGGCATCTCTTTGGACGAGAGCGTGCAATTATTAGATTAAAAATGTGACAAAATCACCACTGTGAAATTGGTTTTTGGATTTAGTCTGCATATCCGATTTTCTACTTTTCTATGGGGTAAAAAGGGTAATTTTCATCACTTGCTCTCTCACTCCCAATTTCTGGAACAACAACATGCAAGTGTGCAGTTTCTGTGCTTTGTATTGACAGCACATACTATTTCACCATGGAAGGCCACCATGGCAGTAACATCCTGTTTAATTGCTTAATGACTAATGGAATCGTTGTGCTTGTTTTACGACGTGTAATCTAATGGGTCTGTGGTCTTTGTAGGGTTGATTCGTCTCCGCTCCACGCCCCTACCCAAACTCCAAGGCCTGGAGTATATCCTGAATGTAACGGCCACAGACGATAACGCATCAGGTGGGCCACACCCTCTCTCCTCCACCGCACAGGTCATCGTAGGGGTCGATGATGTCAACAACAACAAACCTGTATTTGAAGAGGTGAGGTGTTATTTATTCAACCAGGATCTTTTGCTCATAACTGTGTCAAATTTGCAGCTAGAAGAGCTAATCACAGCAACTATGTTTATGTTTATGTTTTCATCTGGACTTAAAGAACAAAATTAATTATGTAAAGGTCAGTTGATTTGGAAAGCTACTGGAGGCTCACACTGCTGCTGGAGTCACCTTGTTTATAGAAGAGGCAGTGAGAGAAAAGTCAGCATGACTGCTTAGCCAAATGGAAGGCAATTATGAGAATGACACCCATGTTTGCCAAGCATTTGATGAGAAGACTGATATTACTCAAGTGTCTGCACAATAAACAAGAAGCTACCACCAGCATAAATAGAGGGGGAACAGCCAGACTGTTTCTGTCCAGAGATAGCAAAATCTTTACTATTTTGTGGCTGGGACCAGTTGCCAGGCAGCAGCTGACAGAAGTGGCTACCTCTGGACAGAGCCAGGATAGCTGTTTCCCCATTTTCAGTTTTCTTGCCAAGATAGGATACACAAATGTTGGCTCCAGCTATGTATTTACTGTACAGATGTGAGAGTGGTATCAGTCCTCTCTGTTATCAGTAAGAAGTGTGTTTTCTAAAGTGTTGAACTATTCCTTTTGAGCATTGCTTTTTTTGTTGTTGTCACTGTCAATGTGATCCTTTCATAGGTGACAATCCTTAGCTTTGCCTTATGGTCCAAGGCATGTACTGACACAATATTGTTACATTCTCCTCTTCCCATTTGTCTCATCCTCTCAGTGCACTTCAGTTATTCCTGTGTCTATCATGCCCCTCTTCACTCCCCACCTCTCTTATTTTTTTGCCCTGGCATTCTCATTTCCCTGGCTTCTATCGTTCTCTGCTGTTTTCCCATGAGTTCAGATTAGCCTGCACACCCAGTCTATCCTCAGGCGCTCCATTGGGATTTCAATTAATATATGAAAAAAGTGCAATATCATCACAATTTAGTATACCTGTTTAATTAACTTTCTCCTTATGAATGACTTGAACTTCAGCCTTTGCAGAGCTGGAGCTCCTGAGGTCTTTCAGGTGGGCTGGAAGTATTGGCAGTATTGATATTATTAAATATCAAGCTATGCCCTCATAACCACTTGGGCCAGCATGACCTTATATTTGATATAATGTGATCTTTATGAACAGCTACCTACAGGCCATACTCTCTGTGTCATCACCTCGCATGGATCCTCTCATTACTCATTATTCTTCTGTTGATCACTTGCTCACATCCTTTGATCCATCTCCCTCCCTCTGTTTCACTCTTCCTTCTCTTGCTTGTTATTTTTGTTTTGCTTCTTTTCATGGTCACTCTGTTCAAGTAGCAGGCATTTATATCTTTTTACCAAAAAGACTCCAGAGAGCAGCTCTTTATCTGGGGCATATGTTTATTAGGAGGAAGGGATTGAATTTGTGGCCAAGGCAAAACTGCTCACCGTTGGTTGTTCAAAAAAAAAAAGCTCCAGTGTTTTCATTTCCATTAATGTGTTCTGCTGTATCTATAACTTCTATACTGTGCTTCATGCACAGTACCTCCCTGTGTGCGCGCAGCGACCCTCAACTTAATGAGCTTATTTTCTTTGATCCTCATATTTTCATTAAGGTGGCATACATGTATTGTCATACTGTAGTCTCATATATATGAGAACTGTTTTCTGAATGTGTGTGTGTCTCCTTCTTTTCGCTCCTTCTTTTTTATATCTTAGTGCCAGCAATATCGTGAGCAGGCTTCAGTGCTGGAGAATCAGCCAACGGGGACTTTTGTGTTGCAAGTGCATGCTGTGGATGCAGATGAGGGAGCAAATGGAAAAGTCAAATATGGCCTAATGCATAGAGACAGCGCAATGCCTGCCTTCAGAATTCATCCAGACACAGGTAGCACGGTCACAGATTGTCTGCGCTAAAATAGCTCTCAATTAGACATAGAGCATAGAGTTAGCTGTTTTAATGGTAATTCACATCACTGACGGTCATTGACCTGTTATCTGAGAGGAAATGTTCACATAATTCTAATAGCTATATTCAAGAATATGAATCAAATGCCAAAACCTGTCTACCGATCATCATTTCATTTAATATGGTGACACTCAATGTGACTCCTCAGTATATAAAAATGATTATATAATGTGAAAGGCAAGTAGAGAAGCTGTTCTTAAGTCCTAACGCGTTTAGTCAACATGTTATTCTGTCAATCCTTTTCTTTTAGGCTTGTGCTCTATCGTATTCATCTGAAGATTTAGTAACAAATCCACTGCACTCTAAAGGAATGCCTGACTTGCGCAAGATAAATTCGTAATTGTTTGCTTGTTTAGATGTAGATGGAGAGAGACGGATGATGGATGGTTGAATTGGAGAATTGCTGTATGGATGGATGAGTGTATATGTTCATGTGTGCGTGCGTATGTTCAGTGGGGATTTGAGGAACGGGCTGATTATTGTTCTGTGTTTACAGGAGTGATTGTGACAGCCAGGCGGTTTGACAGGGAGCGGCAGAGAGAGTATTCAGTTACAGTAACAGCCACTGATTGGGCGGAGGAGCCACTCATCGGCATCTGTCAGCTCACTGTCCAAATACTGGACCAGAATGATAATAGTCCCAAGTTTGAGAATTTGCGCTATGAGTGTAAGTGCTGTCTAAAACTTTTACAAGCATGTGTCTAAATGAAATATAATTAGTATAACTGCAGCAGCAGCATGACCAGAACTCTTAAAAACTGCTGAAGTAAATGGGGTAAAAATGGAGTCGGAGGGGATTATATGCTATTTTTTTGTGCTAACATATGTCACATTTAACAATTCTAAGACCCAGATGAGGACCAGATGCTAGATGGTTGTGATGAAGACAGGGTTTTAATGGAATTAACACAGAGAATACTGGCTGCTCAGATGAGTAAAAAACTGAAAAACATGCTGTCTACTATGCAGGCATTCATTCGGCTGGCTAGCCGGCTTGTTAGCCACAGAAAGTATTTCCTGTAGATGTCTATGTCTACTGCTGTTCCAGCGGCGAGACTGTGTTTTTCTCAGCAGTGGCACCTTTCGTTTAGGAAAAGACTGCAGCGAATCAAACACCAGTATAAATGGTTCTGGCTCTGTGTTGATGTCACATCTGGCACACGCTATGGCCAGTGTATCAAGCATAACCACACCATTTGATACTAGGTGGTTGAAGGAAGGCAGGTGAGTGTGGGAGGAGTGGGGCAGAGCAGGCAGGAGGAACAAGGAACAGGGAAACATGGGATGGAGACAGAACAAAGACAAAGACAATTTAGTTAGTTGATATTTAACAAGTAAGTTAACTGAGGGTATGTTTTGAATATAAATACATTAACAATGTCTCAAGATTTGGTTTTATATATTTATTTTTTAAACAATGTACCATTCATTTCCCTGCTTATTGGATTTCATCTCTGAGTGAAAATTGGAAATAGACAATAAAAACACTAGTAGTTGCAATATAATAAACATTCATAAGATCATCATCCTTAACCTTTATCAGTCTTTGCTTTAAGGTCTCTGCCTCAGAAAGTTGCACTCTTTGACCTGCAAACTAAGCACATATATTATTTCTATCCCCTGTAGACTTCCTGAGAGAAGACACTTTGGTCGGTACCAGTTTCCTGCGTGTAGCAGCTCACGATGACGACTTTGGCACTAATGCAGCTATCACCTACTCCATGGCCCTGGAGCAGCCTGAGTACCTGCACGTCAACCCTTTGACTGGATGGGTTTACGTTAACCAACCTATATCACAGGTCAGTCCGTCGTTATTATCAGGCTGTCTGTCAGCCAGCGCAGGCACACACACACACACACACACACACACAGTCTGTATCACGTGGCAGCCTGTGGGTCTGTGTCAACAAAGTTAATGAATGAACCACATCAAAATGCCTCTGTGTGCTACTCCCAATCTGGGATATGTGTATTTCCAGACGTGCAGCATGTGGAAAGACCACAGAGAAAGAAGATGGATTAAAACTGATTCGGGCTGAACTAATTTAGCAGCTTGTGATCTCTGTTGGAATATTTGATATACTAGATTCAAGACATTTTAATTTCAGTTTATCATCTGAGAATGACAGCATGCGGCAGCTTAAGCCGAGTTGTATTATGAGGCTATTAACCGAAACAATTTGGAGATTGTGCCCCAACAGCTTCTTAAAAACTGAAACATTAAGCCATATGCTTGCCAAAATGATAGAAAGATAATTTTTCTCAAGATACATTCAAAAAGTTCTTTTTAATGTCCTTGTAATGATGAATTGTTTTAATTAAATGAACAATTGTTTTCAACATGAAAACTAGCTCTAAAGATTAGCAAGCCACCCTTCACCAGTTGGTTTGTCAACTAACTGATGTACTTTAATTGATTTCCTGTGTCAGTGATGTAACACAATTTTTACATTTGTCATAGGTGTGTTGTAGACTCATTTTCTGTAGCCTATAAGTGGTTTCATCCTGTTTTCCTCTTATTCAAATGTAGAAGTTGCTCTTTGGCTATAAACTTGCTAAAGCACTAAAGAGCTGTTTATTATTTAGCATATGTTTTAGCGCACTGGTGTTAGAAGTCTCTGGCAGTTTTGCTGCTGACTTCATGAAAAATTGAAAGTGCTCAGCCCAAAACCTCGTCAGACAAAGTTGTTGCATATTCCAGAGTGGTTTCAGAAGCTATTTGAGTCATCCCACTGTCTTTGTGCTGTAACTAAGATTATAAAAGCATTTCATTAAATGTTAAATGTCTGGGCCGGTCTGTGGCATTGATCTGTTTTGATCCTCTCATCACAGTTACTGATTACACTTAACAAGTATTAAGAGCAAATTTTCACATCACACTTAACAGTAAAGTTTGCAGCCGACTTATTTCAGTGGAACATGAAGGAGACAGGCCACTGAACAACAGCAGATATTCCTGTGCCCTAGAGTTGAACTCATGTAGTGTCAAGACTCTGTACAGTGCAGCTCTGCAGAGGATTAGGTTGCTTTGACCATATCCAGAATATTTTATGGATATTTTCTGGTTCAGATCTGACACTATTACTGCAAATCTAATTTTAAACCTTGGATGGATGTTGCCACAAAGTCAGGCAGTCATTCATTTATTGTAAAAGCAGCAGCTGCTGGGCCCACACTGAACATCACAGAATACATTTTTGTTCTCTGCTTTCAAGCTTTGGACAGTAGTTGTCCTTGTTCACAAATACTAATTGGATTGTCCCAGGAATAGAAAATGTAATTTTTTTAGTTAAGCGACTTTTCTTTTTATCTGGCTTCTGTCGCACAATAACAGCGTAGTGAGACCATGATTTGCATTGATAGAATAATGCAGCTGATGGGTGAAATGTTACATGTTAACAATTGAATTCTTATTTGAACAATTTTTCACTAACAACGTGCCTTAACTATGATTTACATTATCTTTTACTGTAAGTGGTTAGAATTAAAGAAAACTGATGTGGGCAAGAAAAGAGCATTTAGAGGGTGTTTTTCTCCTCACTTTGGTATGTGAGTAATGTTGATGTTACACATTGTCTAGTTTAGATAAACTTTAATACTCTAATGACCTCTTAAAGGAAAGTTTGAGTTTTCCTTGCAGTGTCCACTTTGATTAAATACAGTTTTCTTATCAAATGTATTTCATTATTTTTTCCTTGCAGTTCAACTATAGCACAACAACAAAAGTAGAGGAGCTTTTGTGCAAACTGAGTTATAGCTTAATCAGTTTTTGTAAGACTTATGCTGCTCCATCTGTTGTTCTTGGACTAATTAAATGATTTCTTTAATGGAGTTCATAGAGCAAGTTTAGGTGCAGGCAGGAAAATAAGGTCTACTGATGATGAGCTTATCACTCTGATCACTCCCAGCTACACACCTATTCCACAGATCTATAGTTAAAACACCCAGCTTCATACACTTAGATGTTATTGCTGCTATTTGTTGTCACTGGCCAGTTTCCAATGGTCCGCTGCCGCATTGCGAGCCAAAGACACGTTACTTAAACTATATCAAAATGACTGAGGTTGAGTAAAGAACCAGAAGGAGGCTACAGACCATACTTCTGTTTGAGGGCCATTTTCTGCTTAGTGTTTTCAGTAATCTAAAAAGTGCAATGAGTGGTTGGTTTAGGATGCCAAGATGAATTTATAGAACAATTTAGAGGTTCTTTTGTGCCTACAGCTGTGAAACTTCTAAATGATATTTGATATTTAATATGCAGTGTTCTGTTACTTAATGATTTATGTTGTAATCTGTATGGATTGAAGGGTGCAACTTGAGTAATCCCTGAAGTGTCTTTGGAATAGGCATTGTCTCGCTTTTATGCCTATTTTTTTGGCATTGTGGTCTTGTTACTGTGTATTGGTGTAGCAAATATGCATGCAGCAGAGAGACGATTACAGTGGAATTGCTTGGTGTTAATTAACAGACTTACTCCCCTCCACCTCAGGGTGGTGGGGACAACACTACTTGTGATTTATGCAAAAAGAATGCTCTTAGAAGTAATAAATCATTTCATCAGCACCAGAGACTTCTCAAGTTTATGCTTCCAAAATGTGAAACTGCATTATTTTCACCTTGCATTCACTTACGTAACTCTGAGTAAGCTCTGAGTAACTGGCTGCAGACTAAAAGGTCATTTGTTATCTCAGCCCAACACAGAACTCCACTCAAAGGGACAACCCCTAGAGAACTCCCGAGGAGCCATTTTACAGCTCATCTCAGATATGCCAGAGGACAGACTCAATGATTCCAAAAACTATGTGAACTAAGTGCTTAAATCGTGTACAACTTGTGTAATAATGACCGCTGATGAATTTCATGATGTTCAGTCCAACTTTGATCACTCAGATACTGCTATTAGCTGAGATATTTTAAAAAACACTAGACTTTTAACCACAGTTTTTATGCTTACTCTTGTTAGATTTTGTTTTTATAAGACTGTAAACTAAAATGTTTTAGCCAGGAAATATTGATTATTCAGTGAATGTTAGGAAAGTGATCTTACATGATTACAAATTTTAGACATGCCAGATGTTGCGTGTAATAATGTCTCCTTGTTATCACTATATATATGATTGTTAACACTATTATTCTTATATTTCTAACTAATGAAAGGGGCATGGTAAAATGGGTAGATACAGATAAACACGGAGTCATTAATTTTATATTTAAAATGCTCATTTTCCCTCGTCTCTAACAGAGAACTGTCTTTATTCTACCTGGCTCTATGGTTAAAGGCTGGTGTGTCTAGGATAGATCCTAATTTATTCAACATCATTTTTCCTAAACTTCAGTTGAATCCATTCATTATAAATAATAGAAGCTTTCTGGTTTCCTCCATCACCATTCCCATTCAGCCTACAGTTAGACCTTGGTCACTATATCATGTCTTTACATTTTGTCTCCATCATTCATTCAGTTATTTATTAGTGTAGTAATGTAGTTGTGTATTAGTTGATACAATTTATAAAACCCAAGACCATGTTGTTGGTCTATTTTGTTGAGAGAGTAGAGGTCAGTGTTCTAGAGAATTCATTCCTTCATTGATTCAGAGGTTGATTTCTTAAACTGGTTCATTTAACTGATGTGTTAATGAAGTGTAATTATTACACTCCAAAGATTGGCACTTCAGCTGATATTTTTTGGTAATTAATCACTCATAATAATTACTCTACATTTCAGTTAGTTCACCCAAATGAACTTGATGTCCCCTTTCGTGAGGTAAAAATATTAAACTCGTATTCAAAAGTGCTACAATGGTGATGATTCTATCTATCTATCTATCTATCTATCTATCTGACCTTTTTGAAAATGAAAATCCATCACATCCTTGGCCTTTCTGCATGAAAAATTGGTTAAATGGTAAAAAAAAACAATCAATCATTTAAGTGACTAATCATTTACAGTAATTGAGGAATCATTTCAATGCCATGATGATTTGTTTATTGACTGAACTGTTACCGTTGCCCACAGAGGACCTATATCACACGGGACATCATAGCAACTGATGGGGGAAAGCGAAACACGTCTGTGGAGCTGGCAGTCACCATCACCAACGTGAAGAACCAGCCTCCACAGTGGGAAAAAGAGAGCTACAATGTTGTCATCCCCGAGAACACGGCCAGGGACACACCCATAGTGGTATGTGTGCATGCTACTTTGAATGCAGGAACATTTTTAATATTAGGACGCTTGTTGTTACACCTGCTTCTCTATCTCTTGCCATTTTGAGTCGCTGTAATTGAATCAACTAAATATTTGTTTGCTTACTCCCCTGGATTAGTGTGCAGTCTGAGTGTTATTCAGACACTGTGTTCTCTCTGTGCTCAAATACACCTTTAAAAATCTGTAAACGTGTTTTAGTTTGAGGCTGTATGAGAAAGCTGATACTGGATCACATGTGCTAAGCAGGTTTCATGACTCCAGGCTAATTAAACCCATTCAAATTGTCTCCTTTGATGTGAAAATTATATAGTTGTCAATCTAAAGAACAGATTGTTTTCCCAAGGAGATTCACTTTAAGATATGAGATTATTTCAGGGCTCAGACGACATAACAGACATAACCTGATCTTCCTTCAAACTACAAACCACAAATACTGTGTGAACTAGTTTTAATATATAGTAAATAACATACATTTTATTTATATGAGTACCTTATTTTTATTGGTTATTTTCCTAATTCACATTCATTTTTCTGGTTTGCACATCCTTTCTCTTTTCTTGTTCTTCCACGCTTGTTTACTCATTGCTTTTCAGAAGAACATTGTACATGCACATTGAGAACCACTGTACCAGAGTCAAATTCTTTTTGCGCTTAACACACCTGGTCAGTAAAGTTGATTCTGATTCTGAATATAGCCTCTCACATGTAAACTAATATTACATCCTTTTAGAGAAATAGTTCAACCTTTTGGCAAATACCCTTATTTGCTTTTTTGCCAAGATTTGGAGGAGACTGATACCACTCTGATGTTTAAACATTAATTACTGAGCTGTAGCCATCAGCCGGTCTCCTTAGCTCAGCATGATGACTGAAAGCATGGAGAAACAGCTAGTGTGGCTCTGTCCAATTTTAAAAATATGCCTTCCAGCTGTTCTAGAGCTCACTAAGTAATATGTTGTTCTAATATTTCCCCATCTCCAGTCTTTATGCTAAGCTAACCCAACCGCCTCGCAGCTCCACTGTAGCTTGTTATCTACTGTAACTCTCTGCAAAAAAGCAAATAAGACCATTTTCCAAAATGTAAAACTATTCCTTTGACCCCAGAATTATAACCTTTTTTAGTTGGATAGCAACTCAAGCATAGTCCACAATTCTAATTCATTACACATTTTGTCAAATTCATCTAAATTTTCCTCACTTTCTTCTTGCTGTCCATCCAGTGTGTGCGCCCAGAATGGCTTGTGTACTTGTATACAGTCTTGGCTCTGTAAATGTGGAAAAAGGATCTGGGACGGGCCAAGCAATTACAGCCAATCGGCACAAGAAGCACTCTTGGTCACGCACAGCAGAGGGGAAGTGAAAGGGCTGGTACACCTGGTCCTCTAGAGTTCAGAAATTTACATTATCACTGCAGCCAAGAGAGAGAGGTGGCTGAAAAATACCAATTCTTTTGCTTCCAGTTACAGCCTACATGACTAAGCCTCCAAGTGAAGGTCAGAAGAACAAAAAATGAAAAAGGAGGACTTGTGGAGCTGTACCATGGTGGTAGTGAATTGTAAATAACATTAGTAAAAATATCCTGCCAAGTTGTTAGCATAAGGTTTAGTTGCTGAAATGAAATTATTCAAATAATGACTAGCCTACTGTTAAATTAGCTTCATTACTGCACAAAAATATAAAATAAATTGCTTCACTTTAGTCAGTCCAACTTACCTTACCAATGAGGAGCCAGTGCACTGACCTCTGATATCTACTTTGGTATCTGCTCTTGCCCATTGATTTGTTATGAGACCAGGATACTGCTCCACCACTCAGCTGCTCAGCCAATATTTCCCAGTGGTCACCTATGGAAAATGTCCCTATGGCCCAAAAAGCATTTTCTCCATAGACCACAATGATAAAAGTAAAACTGTTGACAGGACACCTCCAACTGCAACCCAGGTCAATTCTCACTCTTCATATTATGAATGTTTAATCCATGGAGGTTTTTTTATTTTATTTTTTTCTCAGAACCCTAAACCATAAGTAACACAATTACTGTGCATTTCGTTAGTTTGAGCCGTACACAACTGCAATATGGGTTTTATGGGCTATAGCATGAATTACTTCTTAGCTGGCCACACTGACCCTTTTTCATAACCATCAAATTACTGGGCAACCATTGGAGTCTCTATAAGTGGAAGACAGATTCTTTTGTTAAATTTGGACAGAACCAGGATAGTTCTTTCCCCCTGCTTCCAGTCTTTATGCTAATTTAATTATCTCCTGGCTCCAGCTCTGCGCTTAACTGACAGTGGTATTGATCTTCTCACCACTGTCTTGACAAGAAGGTGAATAAGCATTGCTCAGTGTGGTTTTCTGCTTTTTTTGCATCAGCCTTCTCTAAGTTTAACATGACCTGACATTCAGATCTTTCATGATCTGACTTATCCTCTTCAGACAATCAAGGCGACCTCTCAGCTGGGAGACCCGAGGGTGACCTACAACCTGGAGGATGGGCTGGTCCCAGAAACCAACATGCCAGTTCGTTTCTACCTCTCCCCCAACCGTGAAGATGGTTCTGCATCCATTCTGGTGTCTGAGCCGCTGGACTACGAGACTACACCGTTTTTTTCTCTCCGGGTCCGAGCACAAAATGTGGCTGCAGTTCCCCTTGCAGCTTTCACTACAGTTTATGTCAATATTACAGGTGTGGTCTGCACTCTTCTCTTTAACTATCTATGCTCTTTAAAGGGAAACTGAAAGTGGCATATTTTTGTTCCATTAGTAGGTTTTATTAATATTCCTCAAGCGTATGTTCAAATTTAGTCCAGTCAAATCACGTTCTTTGTCATATGTGGAGTGGCTACACAGTGAAACTCTTAGCTCATCCTTTCTCCAGATGCTGCAGGCACACTTAAAAATAGATAGTACTGTAACTAGTAGAAAATTACAGTATTAAACTTTATGGTATTTTTAAATACCATATAATTAAGTGTAGTGTGTGATGATTGACTGTTGGATAATAAATTGTCAAAATGTCATATGCTGTTAGTATCAACTGTTAAAAGAGTACATATAGGTCTCATACTATAGTTATATACTGTATATATACTGTGACAAATGAAAAGAAAATCAACATGAAGTGTCTCAGTAAGGTGTTGGGCCACCATGTGCCACCAGAACAGCTTCAGTGTTCCTTGTCATTGACTCTACAAGTCTCTGAACTCTACTGGAGGGACGAACACTATTCATCCAATAGATATTCCCTCATGTGGTGTTTTGGTGGTGGAGACAATGTCTAACACATTGCTCCAACATCTCCAATCATCAGCGGGGTTGAGACCTGGTGACTGTAAAGGCCAACAGGAACAGCTGAAAGTAGAAGTAGTAGTAGTAGTAGTAGTAGTAGTAGTAGTATCAATTTGCTTTTAAAACTTTTTCCTCTCCTAAGATGTCAATGACAACGTGCCATTTTTCACCTCATCAATCTATGAGGCCTCAGTAACAGAAGGAGCCCAGATAGGAACTATGGTTCTCCAAGTTTCTGCCCATGACAAAGACCTGGGTCTCAACGGAGAGGTATGTGATTATCTCCTTATGTTCATGTTGTGCAAGTACAAAAAATGAAGAGATCTAACAGGAATCCATTCAACCACATCTACAGACTGGATTTTCCTTAGTAAACTGTCGAAGTTATGCTACAAGCCTGCTGTAACATCACACCGCAATCCCTGTAGTACGAAAGCTTTCATTCAGAGTTGTCAAAGTGTTGTAGAGGTAGTGTTGGGGAAGGTGCCACTGCAGCCGTGACTCACTCAGTGTGGTGTGATAGAGCATATTGATCTGGATTTTTAATGAGAAGACAGACTCTGGAAGTATGATACAGACTTCCTAACATTTTCAGCTAGTTTTTCCTTTCAGCTATTTCTGCAGATTATTGCTTGAAAGAATATAATAGCTTCATTTTAAAATTTCCTGTGCTCCACAGATCACCTACTCTCTGCTGAGTGACAGCAGTGGCGACCACCATCTGTTCCGTATTGACCCAGAACTTGGCATCATCTACACAGAAGCTGTGTTTGATCGTGAGGCTCGCAGCTCCTATTTGTTGGAAATTCAGTCAGAAGATGGCCAGGAGTCAGCACGACCTGGCAAGAACAAGCAGCCTAACTCAGGTTAGAGATGATCAGGAATTTAATAAAGATGTTAATCTTTCTTTTTGAAACACAAAACTCCTCATGAGATTATGTGTTGCTTTCATTTCATTACCACTATTAGGACCCCAGGTTGGGCACATTACTGTTCAATTATGTGATGTCACATTTAGAGTTTTCCTATCAGTCTTAGTCATACAAATGTTTCTGTTTCATTATCACTCTCTAAGAAAATGTATAAATTCGATGTCCAACAAGACAATGCTGAAAACTCAGGTATGAGGAGTGAACTCCTCTGTGTGTTGTTTTAAACAGACTGCATTGACATTACCTTGCATTTGTTTACATCTGAAAAGTGGATCTAAATTTGATTTATTCTACTGCCATGACCAGGCAGTCTCTTCCACATGAAAATAGCTGAGATATCTTGGCACATATTGTATCTTTGTTACAACCTCTTTTTTTCTCTGCCAGATTTATACAGCATTAATTTTCATTGTTCAGTATTTAAGCAGTATAGCCCGTGTTTGTTTACCATGTTCCCTTTGTGACATTTTGACAGTCGTAAAAGCCCAGTCTGTCTCTAGAGTGACATAATGTGATGTTTGTATTCAGAAGTGAGTCTTGTTTGTGAAGCAACTATTAGGGGTAAAGGGTGATATTTTGGAGCAACAAACCCTCCTCTCCAGGGTTGCCAGGGCTGCTTAGCATTTGCAATGAGCCTTAGCTGTGTACTGTGTTACACAGCATATCTCCTGCATCCAGTGGGGCTCATCTCTTCTGCAAACATTACTGTTACCTGTCTCTCTGTGTCACCACTGGGATGCACCAAGAGAGGGGAGGGAAATGTAAAACAAGTCGAGAAAATAGGGCCACCTTCCACCACTGTCATCTCATGCTGCTGCAGCTCCACATGAACATGTCATCTGTGTGTTCAGTGAGCAGATAATTTACTCTTTCTAACTAAAGAAATAAACAGTGTAATGAGGAGGTCACGGATAAGACACAAACACTTGTCATCTTATAAATATTTAACCTTCCCAGTAGAGAGGTTCTTTATCTAGTCTCTGCAAAAAAGCAGCTTGTTGAAGAGGTTTAGCCCCATTACTGTTATTCTTTCTGTAGAGAGCTGTTACCCCTGTTAGACCAATAAACTCTTGATAAATTGAATAATTTTTGTAATTTACCACACATCATTTTGAATAATATTTGGTCTGATTTCCATGTCAGTGAGTCACTACTCGTCGGGTTAAGTGCCTCTTCCCCACTAAAGAGTGACAATGAATTGTTGAATCAATAAACAGATGGAAGGAGGATACACACATGCAGTGTTTGGCTAAACGTGCATGTCGGTGTTTATGTGCTGTATTGCTGAATCTTCTGCTATTCTGTCATCCTTGCAGACACGGCGTACGTGAGGGTTTTCATCAGCGACGTCAATGACAACAAGCCAGTCTTTGCTCAGAGACTATATGAAGTCGGTGTAGACGAGAATGCCGACGTGGGCCTGGCTGTTGTCACTGTTAGTGCTAATGACGAAGATGAAGGTACGGTTGATGAGACAGCAGACTGAAGAGGCCCCAAGGAGGTTTTACTAATGCTACTTCCTAGAAATAAAGGTTATAGAAGCCAGTCAACCAGAACCAATACAAGGTTTTTGTGAATTTTTTAAAGAGGTGTCCAGATTGTACTTTCCAGGTTGTATCTTTCACCAGATTCCCTTTCCTGAATTATTTTGGCAGTAACCCATTCTTCCAGCAGTGAGTAGAAGGCACCTTACTACAAGATGGCCTCCATTTGGAGCAGTATGCCTAAAGTGACCCTGTGGGCAGTTTTTCCTGATCTAGTCTGAGCTCTGCTGCTGAAATCATGTGGTGTGCCAGATTTAGCAGTAGTCATTTGAGTGCTTAGTAATGCACGGTAGCACATATGTTCCAAAAAGAGTGACACGCTCCCACACAGTAGGTGGGTGGGATTTAAGCAATAAAGCAGTTGCTTATGCTCCGTTCGGCAATGGCCTAAGATGCCTTTATCGGGCATGTTTAGGTCCGTTAATCAAGTATTTGCGGCGAGCGGGGGTGCAGCTTAGGCTGGGTTGCAGCACTAATGATGAATAGTGGAATAACACAACCCCCCCCATCATTAAAGTTACAATACTGTTGCACTGAGAAGCTACACTCAATCTGTCTTATTTTAAAACGCCACCCTGAGCTGGACTGCTGTAAGGCTGCCAGATCTCTGTGGGAGGCAGGGAGCACTTTGTCAGCTAGGGTTGTGTTATTAGTACAGATTAGTGTATTTACATGGGATTTTGGCTACTTTAACCCAACAGAATGATTGAAACTGAAGACTGTACATTCCAGGAGATTATTTTATCTATTTCAGTGTTAAACCATTAAATTGGATGGTCTCCATGGTGACACAGTTGATAAGTTCAGATATTGACTTCCTCTCTACTAAACTACATCTCCCATCCTCTCCAAGGCCTCAAAATCATTCCCCTGAGAGCACTATCAAGAGTGCATTATGCTGTTTTCACTCTCATGCTCCCTTTTACTTTTTTCTCCAGTCTTTTTTTTAATTAGTATCTGATTAAAGCCGAAGAGACGAGGTACAAAGTTTCAATTTAATTAAGTAATCAAAACAAGAAAGGGGCACATGAAAACCTACTAATGACCTGGTCTTGGAGGAAATGAGGTGGTCTCCCCTTCTGTTTATGCCCTTCTGTTGGTGCCAGAATTATAGCACTGCTGCTAAAATTAAGAAAACAGATGACGCTGAACGATTCATCATGCAGAGGCTGAAGGACTAAAGTCTGTAAATGTAACTTTTTCTCAAAATGCTGCTACACTTATGCGTCACCTTAGATTTCCCTAGCCTTATTATGCAACTGATATATGCAAAATCAGGACTGCAATATCACATTCCCAGTCATGCATTTTATTATTCTTGCTGCAGGGGCCAATGCCAAGCTACGCTATCAAATAACATCTGGCAACAAAGGTGGAGTGTTTGACATCGAACCAGAGGTGGGGACGATCTTTATTGCTCAGCCACTGGACTATGAGAAGCAGAAGAGATATAAGCTGCTGGTCCTCGCCTCCGACGGAAAGTGGGAGGACTACGCCGCCGTGGTGGTTACTGTAGTTAATAAGAATGACGAGGCACCTGTGTTCTCCATGAATGAATACTATGGGTCTGTCACAGAGGAGCTTGATGGGTCACCCGTGTTTGTACTCCAGGTGAGAGGTTTAGATGATTACTACTGCAAGGCTGTACAACACAGATTTTTTCAGAAATTGCTATAATTATCAAAAGCTGTTAGAAAGCTTTTTTTTTAAATCAATACCCTCTCAAAATTTGTTCTAAGTGTACCTGTATGTGGCAGCAAAGAACTGCTTATAGCTCCATAATGTATGTATTTTAGTGCCTTTTATTTTTATATCCTTCTGTAGTTTGAAAAGTTAGAAGTCGGAGCAACTCTAGCGATGGAGTTTGTGTGAAGAATCTCAG